GACGGATGCAATGTGAACTGACGTGTATGTGTGATTTGCCCAGCCTCTTCCACTTCTACCTTCTGCCAGGAGAGAAGCTTGCCCTGGGGAGCTCCTGTCCCAGAAGGAGACATAAGGGCAGACCCAAAGTAGAGTGGTCCCAGCTGACTCACAGTCCCATGAGTGAGAAAAATGAGATGTTGCCATAGGCCACTGAGATTTTTTTTGAGCAAAACCCAACTCATACCCACCCTTGGGTCACTAGTTTGAGAATATCAAGATAAAGCACCTATTAAGTGACTAGGACATAAAACTAGTCGCCATCAAGTGGATTTCAACTCATGGTGACCCCACGTATGGCAGAGTAGAACTGCAGTTTATAGGGTTTTCAATGGCTGATCTTTCAGAAGTAGATTGCCAGGGCTTTCTTCTGAGGCACCTCTGGGTGGACTCGAACCTCCAACCTTTCAGTTAGTAGCTGAGTGTATAAACTGTTTGCACTACCCAAAGACTCTTACTGGAAATGTTGTTGTTGTGTGTCGTCGAGTTGGTTCCAAATCATAGTGAACCTGTGAGACTGAGTAGAACTGCTCCATAGAGTTTCCTAGGCTGTAATCTTTATGGGAGCAGATCACCAGGTTTTTTTTCCTGCAGAGGGGCCAGTGGGTTCGAACCTACGACCTTTAGGTTAGCAGCTGAGTGCTTAACCATTGTGTCACCAGGGCTCCTGACTGGAACATAGCATATGCAGGCAGTTCCTGGGTTATGAACATCTGACTTACGTTCAACCCACGGTTACGAACCAACCCCCATAAATCCTAATACATTAAAAATTTGAGGTACATACAATGGTTCATAATAGCAAATGGGTACTAGTTTGGGGTGTGCATCTAAACATTATTATTATTATTATTACTGTATTATTATGTTAAATATGTTTTAGTGCATTTGGAAGATTCATTTTTTTTGTGCAAAGAAAGGTACACTATATAATATATACTTAGACAAACATTTGACTTAGATATGAACTGTACCTAACTGTTCTGACTTACGTACAAATTGGACTTAAAGACAGACTTAGGAACAGAACTTGTTCGGAATCTGGGGATTGCATGTATTTAATAAATGGTTGCCCTTATTATTATTATGGGCCTGATAGATATCCTGGCATTTCTATAATAGAAGTTAGGTCCAATACCTTGCAAAATATTTGTTTTGTGCGGACTTGACCTATGACAAACTTGAACACACCCATCTCTACCTACGTCTTACCTCCTTATAGGCCTACAGGGTAAGTGTTACCCCGAGCCATGCCGTAGAGTTACAGATTGTATGAAACTTAATAGGACAATATGTGGTAAACGGTGGTTTCATGACTTAATGCTTGGGAGTATATTACTGTATCTCTTTCACAAACAGGTATGATACAGGTTAGATATTAATGACTGTCATGGATTGAATTATGTCTCCCCAAAAATGTGTGTATCAATTTGGCTGGGCCATGATTCCCAGTATTGTGTGGTTGTCCTCCATTTTGTGATTATAATTTTATGTTAAAGAGGATTAGGGTGGGATTGTATAACACCCTTACTAAGGTCACATCCCTGATCCAATGTAAAGGGAGTTTCCCTGGGGTGTGGCCTGCACCACCTTTTATCTTACAAGAGACAGAAGGAAAGGGAAGCAAGCAGAGATCTGGGGACCTCATACCACCAAGAAAGCAGTGCCAGGAGCAGAGCACATCCTTTGGACCTGTGGTTCCTGCGCTGAGATGCTCCCAGAACAAGGGAAGACTGATGACAAGGACCTTCCTCCAGAGCTGACAGAGAAGGCCTTCCCCTGGAGCTGACGCCCTGAATTTGGACTTGTAGCCTACCAGACTGTAAGAAAATAAATTTCTCTTTGTTAGAGCCATCTACTTGTGGTATTTCTGTTATAGCAGCACTAGATGACTAAGACAATGACACAAATTGACATATGACACTTCTCAGACCTGGTAACGTTTACTGGGACATTGAGGGGTATTAAACAACAATTGATACTCTAAAGTGCTAAGGAACCTAGTGCTTTTGGACCCCATGGGGGACAATCGCCCTAACCAGATAGGAGGGGATGTCTCATAGGATGTGAGATTTAAGCTGGGCTTTAAAAGATGAATATTTTTCATTACATAAGGTGAGGATTAGCATTCTACGGGGGAAAAATATGTGCAAAGACACACGAGGCATGAGCACTTGGTGTATTCAGAAAATACAGAGGATTCTAGGGTAAATGGTGAGTCAGGTACAAGTGGGCAGAGGCTAATGATCAACTATAAAGTAAAGTGGAGCCAGGCTGTCCACTGCCTGGGTGTTGTAGATGTTTGTTTCCAAAGGTGGCCACCATTACTTCCTTCCTCCCTGTATGTACATGCCACTTACCCATCAAGAAGTGCATTCTGTGCCTCCATGCCTTGAATCTGGGCTGGCTTGTGACTCTTTGATTGATAGGACACACAAGGAGTGACTCTGTGTCAGTTCTGGGCACTGGCAGTTATGTTTGCTCTCTCATGGGATGCTGACTCTTGGGACAAGCCCTCTCAGAACCCAGCCGTCATTTTGTAAGAACTCATGGAAAGGCTACATGACACACTTCAGTCAATGGCGCCAACAGCCAGTATGTGAGTACACCATCTTGGATGTCTAGCCCATTCACCTCTGATGACTCCAGCCCCAGCTGGCATGTGAGACCCTAAGTGCAAACCACCCTGCAGAGACCAGTAAGCTCTCAGAAGGGTAAATGATAACAGTAAATTGTTGTCCTGAGTCACTAAATTTTGAATTGATTTGCTATGCAGCAATAGATAACTAGAACAGGTGTTAAATAAATTGTCTTAGGCATGATCTGGGGTGATTGAATATTGGTGACTTTAAACAATAGTTTTCCTTTTTTAAACCATCAAACCTAAAAGGCTGAGGGGTGGGGGGGTAGGGATAAATTCAAAGTTGAGTGGTACAAATAGTTAATGCGCTCGCTGCTAAGCAAAAGGTTGGAGGTTCAGTACTCTCAGAGGCACCTTAGAAGACAGGCCTGGCAGTCTACTTCTGAAAAATCAGCCACTGAAAACCCTGTGGAGCACGGTTCTACTCTGACACACATTGGGTTGCCATGAATTGGAATTGGCTTGACGGTAACTGTATTTCCTTTGGTTTTGTTGCTGTTGTACTGTACATTTCCTCAACATGCTAATGTTCCAGGGAGGCAATGTGATGTTCTAGAAAGAACCCAGGCTTTGTAGCCAAGATAGACCTGAGTCAAATTACAATTGTATCACCCATGAGCTGTGAGAGTGGGGACAAGTCACTAAATGGAGTAGAGTGTTTATGCTCCACCCAGATTCCCTTTCTGAGGCCATCATATCCATCCCGAGAAGCTGTGATTATTGTCTTCTAGTTGGCCTCTTCTCTGAAGAACTTCCCTCAGCTGATGAGCACCATCTTGCTCTGATGGTGACATCCCCCATATACCCTTGGATGGCCCACAGCCAATGACTAACTGATATAGCGGCACAGAAGGCTGCCTTTTTAAGAGGGAGTAACTCTGTGGTGAGGTTTATGTTCCAAAGCGCTCCTTCCATGCTTCAGGTTCAGGAAGTAGACCACCTGAGTCCACAGCTTGTCTTGGCTCGTTCCTTTTCCCTCTTCTGCTTCCCCCACTGCCTTAAAGATTTTCCCCTGAAGAACACACTGCAATAAACCATGAGCTCCCCAAATCCCAGTCTCAGGATCTGCTTCGGGGGGTCCTAATCTAAGACGCTTAACTTTCCTTAGCTTCCCTTTTCGAAATATTTCTTTGCAGAATTTACAGAGATAATAAAATTGCCTGGAACATAATCCACACTCAATCAATGCTAACAGATATCCTTTCTCATCTTCCTCTTTAGCGTGTTGGTGTTAGCTTCTGTCCAGTCAATGACTGGCTCATGGCAACCTCAGGCAAAACGGAACAAAATGCTGCCTGGTCCCGCACCATCCGCCTGATCGGCTGTGGTTCAGACACTTGTGACCCATACAGTTTTCACTGATTGATTTTTGAAAGTACACTGTCAGGCCTTTCTTCTTCGTCTGTCTTAGTCTGGAAGCTCTGCTGAAACCTGTTCAGCATCATAGCAACACCCAAGCCTCCACTGATAGATGGGTGATAGCTGTACTTGAGCTGCATTGGTAGGAAGTCAAACCTGAGTCTCTCACATGGAAGGTGAGAGGTCTACCACTGAACCTCTACTACCCCCTTCCTCATTAGTACAAAGTAGAAAAATACGAGGAAAGTTTTTTAACCAAAAAAGGTCCACAAGTAAATTTCTCATGCTCTCTGTATAGCAAATCTCTTAGAAAAATAGGCAAGTAACATTCGTTTCTTAAATGGGATAGAAATGCCTATTTTGTGTAGCTGTTGTGAGGATTAACTGAAATCATGTCTGGGAGCATTAAGAACGTTCAGTAGAGTTGACTGGTGCAGAGGAAGCACTCAGTGAGTGGAATCGACCAGCTGCCTTCAAGTTACCTCCAACTCATGGCGGTCTAATGTGTGTCAGAGTAGAATTGTGTTTCACAGGGTTTTCAATGGCTGATATTTTGGAAGTAGATCTCTAGGTCTTTTTTCCAAGGTACCTCTGGGTGAATTCAACCTCCAAACTTTCGGTTAGCAGCCGAGCATGTTAACTATTTGCACCGCCCAGGGGAGCTACTGTCATTCCTATTGATTGCAAGCTCCAGGAGCATGAAGCCAGTTCATCCCTTCTCATCCTTGTATCCTCAGCCGGCACAGTGTGCTGCACAGGGAATGCACCCCTATGTCTGCATAGGAAGGACGATGTAGTTAATGGGGAAGGGAACCATGTTTTAACAGAGATGGCACAGGTTTACCAATTCCGCCCCATCTGGAGTCCGGACCATAATAAATCCAAGCTCACCCCTTCTCATAAGTGTGGGCAGATTTCTACCCCCGTACTTACAAATAGCCAGATTCCCTTGTTTTGGTTGTTAACACAGTTTATTACTGGCACACTTATCAGTAAAGCATACATAAAATACAGCTGTTCGATAACACACGGAGCCACTGTGTCTTTACATGTGTAGAGGAACATATTAATATGCAAATGGAAAAATTAGTTCTCTTATAAAGTTTCACATAAATACACTGGAATTGCCCAAAAAAGAAAAGTCCCCATAAAAGAACCAGCTGAGGGCTTTACAAAATATTATACAAGAAATATACTATGAAAAGAAAGAACAGTCAACTCAAATACAATTAAAACAAAAAAAAGTTTCAGATTTATGAAACTGCCCACAAAATTAATGGATTACATGGCTTGAAAATATTTGGATCAACAGCAATTTTACAAATGCATAAATTCTCCAGGGGCCAAGTGTCTTTCTTCACATAAAAATCTGCCTTTGTGTCTTTGATGACAAAAAGACATTTCTTGTTTCAGCTCTCGGGCTAAATTACTCAAGAGCCAACTGACATCAGCTTGCCCATAAATTTCCTCACTGGGCCCTTTTAGCTGTTACCCAATGAAAGAAAACTTGAGTAAGAGGAAAGAAAAGTACATTGAAATTACTTTCCAAAAGTGGATTTTTTTTTCTTTTCATTTTTTACTGAAACAAGAAACCTTCAGATGCAAGTCAAAAAGCAGAAAATATTTTACAATATTAAAAAGTCATCAGCATAATTAATGAGGTCCTGAGCACTGAGGGCTTATGGACAATATGGCCTTCGCTGAATGCGTGAAAAGGATATTCAACACAAACGTGGTATTAAAAACGTGCCAGGAGCTGCACTAGCATTTGCTTGCTTGAATTACAATCAGTGCCAGTATCTGTATTACCTGCGAAAGCCTCCAAGGTAGGGTCACAGAAGCTTATTTGGAACGATCCTTTCAATTAAAGGAGAAAAAAGTGAAAGAAAGAGAATCAGATTGTTGTGGTTTAGAAATAAGTATTTGCGTGGAAAAGTTTGTGTATTTCTCGTCTTTTCTCTCCTGTAAATAAAGACCTGGAACAGTAATTCTGACCCACTGGCCTACTGAGAGTGGATTTGGATGCAGATGTTCTTATTGGGAAGCCTGGGGTGGGGGGTTTTCTGATTTGGTCTCTTGAGTGGCAGGCGGTTTACTGTTCCAAGGGCTGTTGTTCCCCAGGGCGGGGGAATTGTTGAAGTCCTCCTCGTCGTCCATGCCGTTGGCCGCATCATACTGCGTGTTTTCTAATCTAGTGATTAGCCTTTCGTCCTCGTCCCCAAACTCTCCTCCCATCAGAGTTGGCTCTCCTACCACCATCACGTCCTGTGAACAGCAGCTGACATTATTACAGGGAAACCTTGGAAGAGAGAAGTGCAGCGTAAAAAAATCGTGGGAGGAGTCGGGGAAGCTAGGACAGACACACTTGTGTAATGTACAATGGGGTCAAGTGTCGATGTCGGGTGGGGGAGGGACGAGAGGCATATCTGATTTCTACAGGAAATAAACATCGCCTCCTGCTGTGTACCAACCACCCGAGTTTATGTCCTTAGTGGGCAGCCTGACACCGGAGAATGAGCAATGCTAGCAATCTGCAGAAATAAAAAAATGGATTTTCCAAAATTTAAAAAAAAAAAAAAAAGCCACGCTTTTAACCTGTTGACATGGGGGACTTTTTAGAGGGCTGTGTGGAACTTTCTGCAGGGTGCTTTGCGGTATCTCCAAAAATCCGCCACTCTTATTTGGGGCCTGTGAGTGGCTTTGGAAACTAGCAGTGAATGGAGGCATCTGGAAGCTGCCAGTCTCTAATACGCCACTCTTTCCAAATGGTATTTTGTCTGTCCCAAGGACGGTATATGTTTTAATTGGAGACAGAATCTCTCCTTTCTCTACTCAGCCAGGCCCTTTTATGCAGCCAATATCCTTGACATTCTGCTACTTAATCATGGTAATTAATTTAGGTAAAGTTTTCGATAAAAACAATGTTCACACTGATTTGACAATTTGCATAGCTAATTAAGTCATTAGCAAAAACCTGCTGATTGCCAACAAGCCCTGAATTTACCATCTGTTATTTCATGGTGCCTGTCACCTATCCCCACACAGGCAGCCCTGCCATCAATCTGGGCAGTAAAGAGGACCAGTCTGTCCAGCTGGTGCCATAAAAGGAAGATGAAGAGCACTCATTATAATTACATTGATGAAGCTAGTTGTCATCAAAAAGGGGAACGTGCAAGAAGAATTCATCTAATCACTCCTTTAAGCACAAATTGTCCTTCCATGCAAACAAGGAAGCCACCTACTGTAGCTGGGAGCATCTTGGAGGCCACGCCTGGAGAGGCACAGGGACGGGGGAGAAAGATGCATACACAGGGCACAGCTCCAGCCTCTTTGTTCAAAGGGGACCATATGGGGTTGATGGGTGACCTGGGCATGGGACAGGACACCTGTCAGATGGACACTTCTGGGCAGGCTTTGAGCAATATTCCACTTAAAAGTGCAGTGACTCCATGAGACTGACCAACTGTTAGTAGCCTCCATGGAGGTCAGGAAAAGCAGGGCCACAATGCTTTTGGATATGTAATGGTGGGCTTCCTGCTAAGGAGGAAAATTCCATAATGCACTGTGACAACTGGGCAAAAATGCTCTTCAATGAGGCGTTGTCAAGAGGGCTTTCTTGGGGTGGTAGAGTAGAAGACTGCCTATGGTCAGGAGAAGATCCAGGAAGCTCTCAAATCCCCTCTTGAATTTTGAAGCCGCCCATTGAACAAACACCTTACTTATCACCTGGTCTCTTTTGGAATACAAAATGTTGTTTTAGTTGTTGTTGTTGTTGTTTTTTCCCACCCAGTAGTAGAACTAGAATCTCTAGAATTAGAGAAGATCATCAACAGGTTTCAAAAATGTGTTTCTGACTAATCATTCTTGGGAATTGATAAAAATGACTGTAAATGGAAATGTCCCAGATAAAGTTAATGCCTAAAGTATGACCTTGGTCAACCCAGCCATGAAAGTATTGGTAAAGGTACTGGTAGGATATGCCGATGTGTGCGTTCAAGAACATCTTTATTATGCAATAAGAATCAGGCATGACACTGACATGTAAGCAGACTCATGAGGCCTCTTGAAGGTGAGATGTAACATAGACACAATGCTTCCGAGTGGCAGGAATTCTGACAGGATTTTAGATGGAGCTTGGCCACCTCAGAGATGTGAATGTTATTGGGTTAGCTGGGGCAGCTGGTATTCTACTTGTTGGGGGTGAACAGTATAAGAAAGTGACACTTGGTTGCAGGTAATTAGAAGACCACACTAATGATGAAGAGCAAAGGTGAGTGAAAAGAATACTGTGAGTATGGCCAGACATGGAGGGTTAATCTCATTTGATGATTTGTGTGCATCACATTTTGAAGGGCTTGGAAAATCCATGCATAATGTCTCATGGGGGCAGGACAAGGATGTTAGAAGCACCCACGTGGATCTACATTAGTATCGTGACTACGAGGTCATTGAGAGAGGCTGGGAGAGCTTGAGAAGGTAAGCATCATTTCAGAGAAGAGAGCAGAAACAAGAAGAAGCCAACTTAAGCATGATATTAGAAGGAAAGTTCTCAACCTTCCAGATGCATTATATTAGAAAACAGTAGTCATTCAGGAAAAGTGCTATAAAAATAGTGGTTTGAATCATTTCAAGCGGGGCTGACCTGCATTTGTAATATGTTTGCTACATCTTTGTGTTATGAACTGCTGGAAAATATGCCCAGTCATAGGTATTTTTAAGCGTCCTAAATTTCAGAGAGATGCCACATTTGCTTTACTGCTTATAGAAAATATCCTTAGCCAGATACCTAATCGTGTGTGTGCTTGTATGTGTGTGTGTGCGTGTGTGTATGTGTGTGCACATGACTGAATGACTGTTAGAAGGTGTGCTACAAAAGAGACATGTGGGTTTGCACTGAGGACTTCATATGCACCTGGATACTTGAGACCACTTACACAAGCATGTAACCTCTAGACTAGGATAGGTTAGGATAGGCTCAGAGAGTATAGAGGTTCTCTGCTCTGGCAGTCTCACATAAGGTACATGGGACACAAAGTGCATTCTGAACTGCCTCTAGGTATGGGATGTTGGCAGTATCTCCCCCAACCCCACGTCTTTCAAAATCCCCCCAACATCGGCAGTGAGAGTACACTGCCTTCCCATCTCTGCTGTCTTGTGTATCCCACAGGAGGCAATATGGATCCCTTTGCAAGTAGTCCATATGCCCTTGGATCCCCAGGAGGCAGACCTCTGCTCCTCGGCTGGAGGCCTGGAGCTGCCGCCAGCTCTTGCCCGTGTCACATCTTCTCACTAATCCCCCGTGCAAGGACCACCAACCTCTGAGGAGGACTGGAAGTGACTCCTTTCAGGGCCCCTCAATGCTTCTCCTTAAATTGGCCAGAAGGGGTCACTGCTGTTGAATGACACAGGTCTCCATCCCTCCCAGGGTTGAGGCTGCAGTTCGGGATCGCTCCTAGCCCCTGCTCATGGAGTGAGAAGCAGAATCCAAGGATTAAACCCTAGTCCTCTCCAGGCGCACACACTGCTGCCGTGGCAGCTGAGTGGACCACGGCTGTGGTCACGGTTGCTCACTGAATCTGTTCGTGCCTTTGGTGCAGGCAGGGAATACCTACAGATGGCATTTCTATTTAAACAGTAAAATATTATTGGTAATTCAGTAGACAGGGTTAAATGATGTGGTCAGTACAAGCCACCCAAATGCTCATCATTTAAACCTCATGTAACTAGGGTACACATAAAAATTTTCACATCCTCTAACCTGGTTGTCTTCCTTGCCTATCTTGGACAGCTGTACCTTTTACTTAATTAAAATGTTTTTTAATTGCTCAGTACGGGCATAGTGTTGAAATTCAACTCTCACTTTCTAATGGTGTCCTGTCTTCACAAAGTCCAAATGGCCTCCCCTCCTTAGAAACCCTTTTGATACAAGTATCTTCCACTAAAATGCAGTTGTTGATTTGGAGGAAAGGAGCATTATGGATCAGAAAAAACATGTGCTCTTAAAGTAAAATCATTCCAACTAAAACATCTCCATCCATGGCAGACATCACCAATGGATGGCACACCAAACCCAGTCTGGGACTCAGAATCCTCAATACTGTACTCTGTGCAGCTGACACCAGGGATGGAACTGGCAGGAGAGAGGAAACCTCTCTGCCATCCTTAGATTAGATATTGAAGTCTTGAATGACAGGGTCTGTGTTTTGCTTTGTTTTTTTTTAATCTTACTATTGCCAGTATTCTCTTGAATACATTTTCCTCTTTTGTTAGATGAAACTAACAAATGTTAGTTTCTAAAACACCAGGATTAGATGACTAAATGGGCAGCTTGCATGTTCTTTTTCAGGGGTGGGTATAACTTACTGGTACATTCAGAGATACTCTGTTTTTCTCATTTAATTGTTTCAGGGGTGATAGGTGTGAGGCCCAGTTCAGAGAATAGAGGAGATTTTGGCATTGTTTGAGAACTATAACTCCTAATGGTCTTATAATTAAAATGGTGCCTCTCCCAGCAGGCTGGTCACTCTTTCCGTGGCTCCTTCTTTCTCATGCGATGGGAATAGAAACCATCTTCCCTGTCCGCAGAAGATAGAAGAAGAACCTCAATGGCTCACGTAATTATCAGGTTACCTATGTGGTTGGTTTTGGCCAAAGAGAACTGACCAATGGAAAGCGGCTAAAAATGGGTGGGGACAGACTTGAAAGGCATATCTGAAAGTAAATGAGAAATCCCTTGTAAAAGCTCCACTCACATGGAGAGATGGAGCAGGACCGGAACAAGAAGGCAAGACCAACAGACCAACAGGGACAAAAATGAAAGTAGAGGGAAAGGTCACAGCTGTATTGGCTGAGAGAAGTAACAAGAAGTAGGGAACACCTCCAAAGACGCAGTAGCTAGAGGATATCAGGAAAGAGTCAGAATTCAAATGACAGTTAAATGCCTAGTGACAGAGTGAGGTGATGACGGCAGCAAAGAAGGAAAGAAGGAATCATAGACGGGAGAAGGAGAAACAAATGCTTAAGGAAGCATGAGCATTTAAAAGCAATAAATGGTGTAATACTGGGCCCAGTAATGAGTCAGAAGTCAGGAAGGAACTAAGCAGAAAGGTCAGAGTTTGAGAAGAAGTCATAGGCGATGAAGAATAACTACACTGAGGCATGGAAAGGTCCAGCACACTTTACACTGTTTGGGGTTTACACTTGGATGTCAGCTTTGGGGTTCAAAGATGCCCCCTTCCCAGTGGCCTGTTTCCTTTGCCAAGACCCAGAAACAAAAGAAAGGGGTCAAGAGAGTTGAGACCAAATTTTCATGCCCTGGGCTGATCCTCCCCCTGAGCTAATGAAACAGGCAAAGCAAAATCCATTGGGCTGCATTTTTAGTGGCTGCGAGTTAATTACCTGAGTCTTAAATAGGAGGGGATGCCCATGTCGGGAAGGCCCAAGTCAAATTACGATATGGAGCCTGAGCTCCGGGAGCTCGTTTCCGGTGGAGCTCAGGGTCTCTGATGAGGGTGGCAAGCAGGCCTAATCTGCCACTAGGCATGCTGCTAAGTGATATTTTAATTAAACCTTAAGTGACATATCTCCTGTCTGTGACTCTGCCGGCTTTTTAATTCAGGTCCCATTGCAGCATAGACTCTTAATATTCCTCCCAGTTTGCAGGGGAAGCTTTCCAAGGCAGATATCCTCCCATCCCAGCCCCTCCCTCACCTCCAACCTGCCCAGAATGGCTCTGTAGCTACGAGACTTTCACAAGGGCCCCTTTAATAGAAAGACAGGCAAAGGCGGGAAGTCAGGCCTAAAAGGAAAGCGAGACTTACAGGTACCTGACTGGACAGACTCAGGTTTGCGGCTGGTGTCTTCTTCTTGCTGCCAGTGCTGTTGGCGTTGTTCCCAGCGCTGCTGTTGGAAGTGCTGCTGGTGGAGTTTTTTCTTTTTCTCCGCTTGGTGGTCGGTTGCCTTGTGGGTTCTGCTGCAATATGAGGAAGGGAAGAGGGATCAGTTCCAGGCTAAAAGCATTGAAGCAACCAGCCACCAGGATCCTGTCCCTCCGATGAAGCTGTGTTCATAAATTAAAAAGAAGAGACTATTTCCATTTCTTTTAACTTTACACATACACATACACACACACATACAAAATAAAAAATAAAAAAGAGAGAGAGAGGAGAAAGGTGTTAATTTATTTTTAGCACTAAAATGTGTGGAGCTCTTTTCTTTTATATGGAGACAAAATTTGTATTGTTCTTTCTAATTTTGTACATATGACTGCAATCTATTCATATATTTTAGGGGTGGGTGAGCAATGAATACTTTTTCTTGCTGCCATGCTTTCGTAGTTCAATTAAAAATATTAATACCATCATAAAACTTGGAAAAAATTTTTTTTTTTACTTGTTCTACCTTCTCTTTCTACCATCCGTCAGTTTGTCTTACTGTGGTGACTTCAGTGTTGCTATGACGCTGGAAGCTATGCTATTGATATTTCAAATACCAGCAGGGCCACCCATGGTGGACAGGTTTCAAGAGAGGTTTCAGACTAAGGCAGACTAGGAAAAAAGGTCTGGAGACCTACTTCCAAAAATTAGTCAATGAAAACCCTATGGATCACAACAGAATATTATCTGATACAGTGCTGGAAGCAGGTGAGCTTCTTAGGTTGGAAGGTACTCGAAATACAAAGTGGCCACTACATTGGACTCAGGAATGTCAATGACTGTGAAGATGGCACAGGTAATGTTTTGTTCTGTTGTACATGGGTTGCCATGAATTGGAGCTGACAACTAACAAAAACTTTTTATTTATAACAAAGAGAGGGCTTCCGGGCTCCCTAGGAAGTCTCTCAGGTACTAAAGAAAGTAAAAACTTTGTACCGTTAAGTTCATTAACCAGCGTGTAATAGTAGCATCTACTGGCTAAGTGTCATATTGCAACCTAGCTCTATTACATCTTGAAATTCTCAAGTGAAAGGAAGAGGAAGCATCAGTTCTATTAGCTGCGAATATGGAGCTTAGAGATTCCCAAGCTCAGTAGAAATACCCATGGTCTGACCCTGGAGTTTAAAAACGTCACTAATTTCAAAATCACTGGAAACGATGTATGCTACAGCCAGCATATTACTGGAGGAAAGCTAAACTTATTAAAGGCTTGTTTGGCAACTAAGAAACACATTCTGTACCTGAAGGAAGGGCTGAAGCCTTAATGGAAGTCCAAAGACCCATGGTAATGTGTGGCAAGAGGAATGTTATTAATTATTTAAAATATATGAATTGAGCAAGGCTTACTTTGTGCCAGGCACTATTCTTAACATTTTGAAAATGTATTAAATGTTTTATTTTCATAACAATCCTATTAATTAGTTACTATGACTATAATCTTTATTTTGTAACTAAGAAAACTAAGGCACAGAAAAGTTTAGTAACTTGCCAAAATTTATGTAGCTAGGAAGTATTGGAGCTCAGGTCCATACTTCTTCTCATCTCCCTGAGCCTGGCTATAGCTCCACAAGCCTTGCATACAGCAATTAAGGGCATCCTTTTTGCTAACCCTGTTCTAGACCCAAGCCTGATGGAAAGAAGGTAAGCCAGGGCCATAGTGAAACTGAGAGGACTTGGTAACATTTATTAAAACACCCAGGCTGCCCCTGATGGACAATAAGGAAGAGTCTCCTTTAAGGCTCAGTTCAAAGACCACTTAGTCCACTAAATTTCCCTGACTTTTGTGAAAATATGTAGGTTATGTTCCTATTTATATACCATTTTTTATTTCATAAATAATTATTTTCTTATGTCAGTTTGTCTTACTGTGGTCGATTGTACATTGCTGTGATGCTGGAAGCTATGCCACCAGTATTTCTAATACCAGCAGAGTCACCCATGGTGAACAGGTTTCAGTGGAGCTTCCAGACTAAGAAGATACTCGGAAGAAAGGCCTGGCAATCTACTTTAAAAAATTAGCCAACAAAAACCTTATGGATCACAACAGAACATTGTCAACTTGCTTGTTTTGGACACATCATCAGGAGGGATTATTTACTAAAGGAGGACATCAAATTTGGTGAAGTGGAGGGAACAACGAGCGCGTAGGAGACCCTTGGTAGATGGATTGGAGCAATAGCTGCAACAAGGAACTCGAACATGCTGGCAATTGTAAGCATGACGCTGAGCCAGGCAACGTTTCCTTCTGTTGTACATAAGGTCACTAGAGTCAGAGTCAACTTGACAGCATCTAACAACAATAACAATGCTCAAAGATTTTTATCAAAGGGTCTACCATGAAGGTGAGAGGGACAGAGTTAGACTTATTTCAGCTCAACGAAGTTGGAAAAAGAGTTGCATTTGGACATTCTAAAGTCAAGCAAATACCCAAGTCTGTCCCTGATAAAAATCTTCTTCCTTAAAAACAAAAATCTCATTGCTATTGAGTTGATTTTGACCCATATATACTCTATATACTCATATACTCTATAGAACAGAGTAGAACTGCCCTACAGGGTTTCCAAGGCTGTAAATCTTTATGGAAGCAGACAATCACATCTTTCTCCCGCAGAGCAGTTGGTAGTTTCCAACTGCTGACCATTCAGTTAGCACTTTAACCACTCTGCCACCAGGGCTCCTCTTCTTTCTTAGACCTAAAAAAATGTAAATCTGCTGCATATATATATATATATATGTAAAATTTTGGTATCTGTTCATTATTCATGGAATTGGGATATATAGAATCAACTTGACAGCAATGTACATTCCGGGATTATTTCTATTAACTGCAGGAAGCTGCTATAGAAAAGGCATGAACTTTGGAGACCAAAAAAACCTGGCTGTTACACATACCTCCTTCATTTACTAACTATGAGACCAGCCTTGGCAAACTCCTTCTTTAAGCCTCAGGACCCACTGTACAAAATGACGATAATAGTCAATTTCTTATAAGGGTGTTGTGAGGATTCAATAAGATAAAAGGGAGATTCGTGAGGGCTGCAATTTTTGACTTTCATTCTAGCCACCCGCTGCGGCTAGAACAGACATCTATTAGGGGATCAAGAAATAATTGTTGAATGGATGAATGAATTACATAATATATGGACTATATATGCATGTATTGGAAAACGTAGGTGCTTGAAGCGTTTGTTGAGTGAGTATTTTTTTCCCCATAAAGGCTTATTGATATTGAAAGAGAAAATAAGGCCAATTTAAGCACTTTTAATATATTTGAAAAATAATGTTCTAAAAGTCTAAAATTCTCCCTAAGATAGGGGTGCAACTATTCTATGTAAAATAAAGCTCACATTCTCAGCTTTCTAAATATGTACTTGGTTAAATCTGCTATATTCGTTTTACATAAAACCCCAGGCCAATTACCAGCAGAAGGTGACCATTATATCTTGTGCTTCAGAAAGCTATGTGCCTCATGTTAATAATTACTCTTTATAAAAATAATTTTTAGAGAATGGATACGTTTTGCTTTTATGATCAATGAGGCTCGACACATGCCTGGGAGTGAAAATGTATTAGATAGACAGACAATTAATGATGACTTGAAGCGGTAATTTCAGAACCCCAGCAGGAGACTATAGTATCTAAACTGCATTCTAGGTAAGTGAGAAAAATGGAATCTTTTATGTATTCTCTTCATGATCAGAGTAACTTTTGATATGAAATATCTTAAAAAGTAGAGCAAAATTTCTTTCAGTTTCCTTCCTTCCTCCCTTCCTACCTCCCTTCCTCCCTCTCTCCTTCCTTTTCTCCTTCCTTTCTTCTTCCTGCCTCTCTCTCTTCCTTCCCTCCCTCTCTCCTTTCTTTCCTCCCTCTCCCCCTCCCTCCTTCTCTCCTTTCCTTTTTCCTTCCTGCCTCCCTCCCTTCCCTCCCTCCTTCCTTTCCTTCTCTCCCTCTCTTCCTTCCCTCCCTCCTTCCTTTCCTTCTCTCCCTCTCTTCCTCCCCCGTCCCTCCCTTTTCATTATTCCTAACATTAAAAGTAAAACAAAACGACTACAACACAACCCAAAACACTAAGCCGTGAGAAGTGAGCCGTCTGGTCTAGTGGACGGGGAGAGAGGAGATTCTCGTTCAGATCTAGGCTTTGTCAACCACCTTCTTGGTAACCTTGAACAAGTTGTTTTACTTCTCTGGGCTTCAAGTCCTGACTGGCAAGTGAGGAAACAATATTAGATGATCCTTAAAGATGTTCGCTCTTCACAGATTCAATATTTCTAAGTCCAAAATCATGGACAGAATATCCCCAATAAGCTACTTCTCCTGATAAATGAATGATCACCTCCTTCTTTTGCTTATCGCTTCATTCCCCATAGAAGCCGCATTCTAAGGAGGGTGAAGAGCCAGAGTGTACCTGGGGGCGCCACCATCCGCTGCCACTTCTGGAACAAGCAGGTCTTCAGGCAGTCGCGCGGACTGAGGTTGTAGGTTTTATGTCTCGACATCAGTTCCTGCATTGGCTCCAGTATTACACACAACTGCAAGAAGTTCAAAGACATTGGTGTTTCACGACTTGAGAATATTAATTGCAATAAATAATGTTAACAGGTGGAATCAATTAGAAAGCTGAAGGATATTGTTCTTTTTTTCCTGTTTGGAGGAAAAGAAATATTGCCAACACTTTATTACATCCACTTAATTTAGTATCTGTATAATGTGACATTATAACTGATTTATACACACACATGCCCATACACACACACACACACACACACACACACACACACACACACACGACACTTTCTGTACAGATGCTTTGTATGGCTCCGTGAAGCATAGCATGCTCTGATTCTGCCCTGGTTGCTGGCTGTTGCTCCTGTTTGTATAACCACACGCTGGGAGTTACAATGCTAGCTTATGCAGATTACTAGCATTAAAATCTATCTTTTAAAAGCTGGAGAACAAGTGGCAATTACAGGTACTTTTTGATCCTATTTCTTATAAAGGCTGATGGGTGAACCCTACTTTATTTTTATTCATGTACTCATTTTGGTTTACACATGATAAAAATGTAAATAACATATGCCTACATTTGTTCAGTATGGGAGATTTTTCTGTGGTTATGCACACGGTCACCTCGTTCCCTGCTTTGATTAGATTTTTCAGCTTTATTTTGGTCCCAGACATCCGAAGACAAAGATTAATGAGTGAAACAAGAAGGTAAAACCATTTAGGATTGTCTTGGACTTTTCCAAATTCCTTCTTGGTTAGAAGCCTATCAGAATACCACTTAATTTCGAGTACTGTATCAAAGAGGATGAATACCACAGTACGGAATAATACATTAATTGCTGTGGCAATTGTTGCTATTGTGAGCTATCTAGTCAATTCCAACTCATAGTTACTCTATAGGACACAGTAGAACTACCTCACAGGGTTTCCAAGGAGCGGCTGGTGAATTCAGACTACTGACCTTTTGGTTAGCAGCCATACCTCTTAACCACTGTGCCACCAGGGCTTCAGTGACCCTATAGGACAGAGTAAAACTGCCCCATAGAGTTTCCAGCATGGTAATCTTTATGGAAACAGACTGCCACATCTTTCTCCTACAGAGCAGGTGGTGGATTCCAATCGCTGAACTTTTGATTAGCAGCTGAGCGCTTAACTGCTGCACCACCAGGGCTCCTGTGTTGTTGCAATTACAGTGATACAAATATTAGCAACACATCTTCCCAGGTGAAAAAAAAAATTTATTATGAAAGACAGATGGGCAGTCTCTAGCTTCCTTATTTCCCTCTTGCCTTTGGCCAGCCCTCACCTTGAGCACTTCTCAGAAGAGGGCACATTGCCTGTGTCCACAGGCTCCCTCAACCTGGAATTCTTCCTCCTCTCTTCGGGCTAAGGCCCACCAGTAGTTGATGGCCCTTCTTCTGTTAAGGTTCCCTGCCCTTACTGTGCACCTCTCCCCACGCAGGCTGAGTTGGGTGTCTCTGTTTCAGGACTCCCAGAGCGCCCAGCGCTTTCTGCTCTATGGACTGATGTATTCACATTTGTAACCATCCGCGGCCAAGTCTGTCTACTCCACTAGACCATGAACGCTTTGCCTTTTATCTGTGTTCCCAGCCTTGGCTCGGATGAATGGATGCATCGAAGGACTGATTCTTAGAAAGAGCTGAGCATCTTTCTATGCCAATGTTCCTCAAAGTGGGGTCTAAGAACACTTCCATCAGGACCAAAAGGGTTGCTTATTAAAAATGCAGGCTTGCAGGCTCTGCCCCTTCTGTTTCACTGGGTCTGAAGGCAAGGCCCTGAATCTCCATTTTCAAAACCATAAACCAAAAAAAAAAAAAGAAAAACAAAAAACGCAGCTACCGTCGAATTGATTGTCACTCATGGTGACCCTGTGTGTGTCAGAGTACAACTGCACTCCATAAAGTTCTCAATGGCTGATTTTTCAGAAGCAGATTGCCAGGTCTTTCTTTTGAGGTGCCTCTGGATGGATGTGAACTGCTAACATTTCAGTTGGTAGCCAAGTGCTTATTCAAAACTGTATCATTATGTAATTCTGATAAATACTACTTAACTTTGATGCCCACTGCCCTACATATTCTGGATTTTAGGAAGGATAATAGAGACAGCAAGAGATGGACAAATTCCCAGTGGTTTCCTTCCACTCTCTTCTCACTTCTCCCCACTCTTCTGTGCCCCCTTCCTTCCTTCTCATGTCTAAGCATGATAACTTTCATTGAGCAAAAATAATACGCAGCCCTTTTTACCTATCAAAGATCTAAATCTTTGCCAAAACTAATCCCATTTAAGGCCCAGCTGTAATCTTCTTCCATTTGCAGCTTCTGTGGATGGAAAAAGCAAGATTTCAAAGCCTGCAAAACACAAGGACGTGAGACGAAGCCATCTGACACTGTGTGAATGGGGTTGGAAATGAATGAAATCGGGATTAGGTATGCTGGATCTTAAATCTCGTGCATCTTCTTGCCTACTTTGGAGCCCTTTTTGCAATCTAAAACATCTGTAAAGAAAAATCGTTAAAAAATGAGGAGCTTATTTTACAATTAACTCCATATTGCAACATTGTGAAGATTCTGTGTGTTCCTTCCTGTATTAAGAATTCATTGCTGGAAATTAAGGTCTGTGCAAGCTGCAGACAACCTCATTGCCTTCCCTAGCCACTGATGCTCACAAGACCATGCGGAGTGTACAATCATCTCTATGAATAGAGCTCAGAATGGATTATCCATCAAAGAAGAACTACTGCTAAATTTGGACAGGGTCAGAAGATGTTTGCATTTATTATTAAACTGGAACCGTGAGACTAGCTTTCAGAGAAATTCTAAGGGCTGGGAAACTCTTTTTTTTTAATTAAAAAAAGTTAAAAAGGTTTTTAAACCATTCCCTTTTGACCCATTTCCCATTCCTGAGAAATGAGCTTACAATGATGGAGGACATACAGGCAGGAAGCAACAAGCGTGGACTCAGAAGCCAAAGAGGCCAGGTATGGATGTTGGCTCTGCCATTAGGTGCATATCCTTGTGGAATCTCTTAACACTTTTGGGTCTCAATTTCACCCGTAAGACAATACTCATCTATACATTGTTGTGAGAATTTCAGATAATATGCCTGATACATAATAGATGTTCAACAAAGAGTAGATATGATGATTCTATATTAGCAAACACCACCTAGATTGCAAACAACCCACATTTCTATTGCCTTAAATCAACCAGCATTTAAAGAACATCTGGAAAGTGTCAGGCCCACTGCTTAGGTGCTGGGGCACAAAGATGAGGGTGGCACTATCTCTGTCCTTTGAGAATATTCAGCCTCCTTAAAAACGACTTCAGCATATTAAGAAAACTACCCTGTGTTTACCGTTCAAGCATCTTAGGAAATCACATTTCTCTGAATCAAGTGACAAGTTAGATGGCAAATATGACCTATTTGGACCTAGAAAAGGCTATCAGTGTTGAACACGCTTTGAAATGGGAATGCGTGGGCTTGTTACCTTTCTTTTTCATAGTGTCTTTCCTCTCTGGGTTTTGGGCAACACTTTTTACAGGTGCTAAGCCTCAGAATTTATCCCTTCCCCTTTAATGCAAAAATATCTTCTCATCACTGTAACCCACCCCAAAGGAGCTGGCATCTCTGAATGCTAATCAGGAGTCCCCAAAGCCATTTTTCTTCCTGTGGAGGGTTTCTGGGCCCTCCTTTTATTCATGTATGCAAATGAGTCTCTCGCTGTCTGCAGCAGAGCCTCAGTGGCTTTGCTGGGCTGCGTGCTGTAGGTGGCAGAGCTCACCCAGATAAGAGCCTGCCTTCCTGGCATCAAGCCAGTGCATCGTGGCAGCAGCCAAGGCCTTGGGCGTTATGAAAGGAAAGCAGGAAGAAGGTTGGGGAAGTGGGTTCCTGTAGCTGCTAGCCAAACCCTTTTGGAGCCACGATTCCTGCTTTCCCTGAGGTCTCAGACCCTCTTGAGAATCTGGGGAAAGCTATGAAGCCTGTCTTCAAAATTTTGTTCAAAATTTCTGAATGTTTATGAAGTCTCTATAATTAAACCCTTTGCTATTGACTCTATTTTGACTCATAGCAACACTACAGGACAGAGTAGAATGCCTCATATGATTTCCAAGGCGAAATCTTTACGGAAGCAGACTGCCACATCTTTCTCCTGCGGAGCAGATGGTGGGTTCAAAGCGCCTACCTTTAAGTTAGCAGCCAAGCACTTTAACCACTGCACCAAAAGGGCACCTTATGAAGCCTCTACAGCCCCATCCACTGACAGCAGGTAAAGAGCCTCCTGTTTATGCTTCGTATGAACCAATCTACACTAGGCATGCCTTTTCCCCACCCACCCTACGCACACTTATGCACACACATACACAAACACCACTCACAGGCATATTAACGGAACTGAGCATAACAATACGGGCACATCCTTTGATTTTGAAGAACTGTTATATCTGTGAAGTCAGGCCTGCTAGAAAGTTCCCAGTGGACCACTCCCTTTGCCTGAAAAGAAAGGCCGCTGCAAGCACATCAGCTGCATCTGTAGCAGACTGCACGCTGGCTTGCAATTTAGTTTAGTTTCTTCCTGCAGCGGTGTTGGAGGATACCAGGAGGAATTCCAGGACACAGTGGAAGGGAGTGGGACCCAGCCTGAGACATTGTTTTGAATATGAAGTCCCTGAAAATGTGGTCCCTGAAAAATCCAGTCTGCACTCCAGAGAAAGATATTGCCCATCCTGGAAAAGCTCCAAGGACACCCTCTGCAGATTTAGCGGGGATTTCAGGTAGCTCTTGGTGCAAACATTTAAGTGCTCAGCTACTAACCGGAAGTTGGTGGTTCCAACCCACCCAGAAATGCCTCAGTAGAAAGACCCGGCAATCTGCATCTAAAAGGCCACAGCCACTGAAAACTCTATGGAGCACAGTTGTACTCTGACACACATAGAGTTGCCATGAATTGGAATCAACTCGACAGCAACAATTTTGTTTTTGTTTTGTTTTGTTTGCTTCTCCTAGA